CATCCACAGTCGACTGGGACCCTGAATGGAATCAGATCAAAGTGCGAATCCTCCTAAGAAAGGGAAGGCCGTGATTGCCTGATGTTGATGTCGGTTTCGCCTTCTTCGCATCGTCCTTCCCCTACATTAGCATTTTAATGATTTATTTTAGGCTTTGCAGGTATTTTTAAGTCTGTTGATACGTGTTCTGAAGCGAGAATAGCATTTTCTAATGCAATGGTACCAACCAGTCATGCCCATAGATATATGGCATTCCTCAGACAACTATCAACCTGGGCATGGTAAATACTGTATGTTTGCTAGTCGTTAGAAATATCTCTAAATGTTCTCATCAATAACTAGAGATTCACTACTTTATGTTCAAGGTACTTGAATTGAAATCAAGTCAAGCTCAATTCAAGTATTAGCTATTAACAATCTGATAACAGCTCAAGTATTTTTTGTCTGTCAAGTACTTAAAAATTCAGGTATTCTTGATATTACTTGATAATTTTTACGAGACGATTATAAAAACTCAACTGAAAGACTTTTATTTGTCAAAATTTTCAGAGAAACACATACTGAACAAAATAATCTGTTCATAGTATAACAAATAAAAGAACGATAAAACTGTAAACTTAAGTAGATAAAACAAATTCCTCACCAGATAGACGATCAAATTAAAATAAAAAATTCTAAATTAGCTTTTCATTCACTAATCACGTGTTAAGACACATGACGGTCCTAACGGATTTATAATGGTGGTAAAATTGAAAATAAGTGACAACTGACCGGATTTTGAAGCACACTCGTATTTAATAATAATTATTTACAAGTTGTGCCTGTTATACATCATGTATAATAGCTAAAGCTGTATAAACATATTTCGTTCTTCTAAAAAACGTAAAATAAGTTGAGTTGTTTGTTTTTTGAAAAAGTTCAATTTTAATTTTTTTATATTTATAGAGAACCTGTGTATCTGTGTTGTATTTCTGTGCTATACGAAAATATACTGATCATAGAAGGTACTACGTGGCCCAAAAGTCCTTGATCCGCCGCTGATTTTGAGCCGGCCTGGATGTTTTCTTCCTACCAATTTTGTCCTTGAATTTACTGAATTTCAACGACACTATCCACCGATTTCGTGTTTTTTGTTTGTTTGACAACGCTGTGTGTATGCTTCATTTGAGATAACAGTCTACCCCATTCTCTCGTGACAATTTTCGATTTTCTACGTGATTATTTGCATTAAAATTCAAAATTCGACTCATCGGTTGTATAAATAAACATAACTCAAGGTCTTCAGTAGAACAAAAATATAATTTGCCATCAAGTATAAGTAGTTTGAACATCCTTGACCTCAAGAAAAGCAGAACATTAAAATATTAAGCCGAGTTAAGCATTTACGTTTCAAGTAAATTTATTCTCGGGTCAAATCAAGTAGTTTATGAAAATATCACACTACTTGATAAATGCCTACGAGAAACAAGGCTCTACAAAATGTAAACATAACGTAAATGCCAGCGATACCTTATTTCGTGTATCACCTACTCCTTATTGAACTCATCGTAATATTCCAACAAATTATACATCGTGTTTCACAACTTATCCGACAAATTTTAACCACATATAGAAGGTTACGAATAAAGTTGATTTCTCAAAAAAAAAAAATGCAACAAAAGTCCTTGAGAAATTATGTTAATAAGCCTGAATTTCAATAATAAATTGAAAAATAAATATCTGTATTTTGCGTTCATCGTCGTAATAATAATATATAATAATTTATTGCTGCAAATGTTGTACCAAACAACTGACGAAAACAAAATACCAGAAATTTTTTGTTTTTGCATACTGATAAGAACATGTAAATAAGGTTTAATCTGTATCGTGGGCGATTTGAATGAACAACGGTCGATTTTGGTGAAGTTAAATAAGAAAGTATTTTGTGACTTTATATTTTCATTTAACGTATTAATAAAAATGACACATGCGTACACTAATGAGGAGTTAGTGGATATTGTCTTAGCGTACGGAGAAGCAGGGCAAAATTCGCGAGCTGCTTCTCGTTTGTATGCACAGCGATTTCCGAATACGCACATACCACATCACGAAACATTTAGTTCAATTGTTTTACGTGCACGTGCTAATGGAGACTTGCGCCCCAAACCTGGAGTGGATGGGGGTCGGGCTCGCCCACAACGCGTTTTAAATGCCGAAGATAAAATTTTGGATATTGTGGGAGAAAATCCGGGAATAAGCACAAGGCACTTAGCCCAACAGGTCCCAGAAGTGTCACATGCAACAGCGTGGCGCATATTACATGAGGCCCAACTGTCCAAGAGAGTCCAGGTGTTGCTACCTATACAGACTATTTCCTAAGAGTAAGATTTTGTAAAATTGTAAAAGTGCTTATGTGGTTAAAATTTGTAGGATAAGTTGTGAAAGATCCTGTATACTGCTACAGCCAACGCGCCATCAGAAGCTTCAAGCATAAATTTTGTCTTAACAATTTGAAAGATTTTGTTTTTCCTTCATGGCCGCGTATCGTTGCGATAGCCTTATACAAATCGATCTAAGCAATCAAACATCGTTCAGCGAACCTCTTGAATTGACATCCGAGCATCGTGTGCTGCTGCTCAGTAGATGCAAGTTCGATTCAGATTCGTTCAAACGGTCTGGTGAGAAGAGGATGCAGCTCGAGTACTACTGAATCTGTCTCCCTGAACCAGAAGTCTTAACTGGCGTCCAGAACCCCTCGCTCGCTGTCCTCAGCGTTCCTGAATCCACGCTCGTTCAGTATACTGCGTAAGGATCTGTTAGTCCTCCTAGAAACTTATCTTATCGATAGACCGGTTCCACGCAACCCGACAATTCGACCACTCTCAAAGTCACGTAGCTGGGACACCTAGGGATGCAACGATATATATGGGAAAACCTATAAATATCGATATATCGACAACTAAAAATATCGATATTTATCGGTATCGACAATACGCCGATATCGATATCGAAAAATTCAATATATCGTATGAAAATATCGAAAAACCTACCCAAATTAAAATACCCACAAAATCGGGTAAAACGCTTGACTGGCAACGTGACAACACTGATTCTCCAGAAAATGAGGTATGACGATATGACAAGTGACAAGTATATATGTTTAAAATATATACACTTCAAAAATATACGATTATAAGATTATGTCACTATTTCAAAAGTTGTCCCTATGGTGAGTTGAAACGGCTACAAGGAAGCAGACTGTCAATGTTACTATTTTTAAGTTCAATAGCTAGTACAAAATACTGGAATTAATTTTCCCAAATAAATGTATGAAAAGAAAAACACATTTTATATACCTATACGAATTTTGTTTCACTTCACATACATAAGAATAAAAATTTATATACATACATAATCGATAACTGTTTGATATACCTAACTAAAACAACATTGGATTTCTAATTTCTGTAAGCTTCCAAAAAATATGAAATATCGATATATCGGCTTAGTAGACCGATATATCGATATCGACTTAATTCGATATATATCGATATTTATAAAAAGTTTGCATCCCTAGGGACACCCATCGAATTCTACGTACTCTAGGTATTTTGAGCAAGCACAAAAAGGCTTCTCAATAAGCTACACGAAATTTAACATTTAACTGACACCGTAAATGTACGAACACTGAATGCTTCTTTATCACCAAACGATACACGCGACCACCACAAAAACTTAACAGAAAAACCTGACCATTTTGTCACTTGTTGTTTATGGCAAGATAAATCAATGCGTAAAAAATTCTTGAATTCTAATAAACATACCTAGGTGTTTTTTTCTCACTCAGTATACGTTATTAAGATCTAGGTACCGTCAGTGCTAAATACCAAAAACTATTGCCATCACCTTAGAGCAGAACTATTCCATGTCACAAATTCATTAATTCCGCTTTTTATATTCGCGCGCTGCAGAAGTATCTTAAGCCATGTACAGATTAAGTAACAACACCGCAAACCAAACCACGCGACGGACCGCGCCGCGATAGTGTAGACGGTGAAAAGAACGCCGTCGCGAACCTGATTAGCGTTACAGCTCGCCGTTCGGACTGATCCAGGCTCTATCGGTTTTTTAGCTCAACATCAAATGAAAGGCTCGCGACGAAGTTGCACATGTTTGGACAGGCATACCGGTGCGGCAAGCACCCATGTGTTATTTCGTAATGTACGAGTACTTAGGAGTAAAAGAATTATTTTTCTTACTTGTATTGCATTGTATTTTCATTTAAAACTTCGATCAATGCCTCACAAACTTCTGGAATGATGTATCTGATCGATTGCTTTGAAATACGAAACATGTATTGCAAGCTGCTATCTGAATCACCGGTCGCTAAAAATCGCGTCGTGACTGCAAGTCTTTCTTGCAGTGTGATGGCAGCTCTCCATTTTGTATCTTGTTTTCGTATCTTTGATCCAATCAACGTGAGAAGATATTCAAAATAAGTCGGAGACATCCTTGTAAAATTTGTGTTCTGCCCACTTACTTGTTGAAATTTCAATTCCGCTATCAAATTGTAGCAACCGTGTGCTGATCTATTGGTATATAACTGCGTTTGTTACCATCGTCTCAGACGTCGTCGTAGCTTGTTTTTGGATAATTAGTAGTGAATATACATATAGGCAGCTGCTGCTACTGCTATATCCATTTCCGGCTAGTATTTGTCTTCCACTGAACGACAAACAACAAAATTGGATCGTCATTTTGTTGCGAGATGTGGTTGCACGACTTCGTTCGGTTTGTGGTGATGTTCGTTGCAATCTTCTTCGTCAAAATGCGTGGTTCGGTTCGCGGTGTTGTTACATCTGTACATGGCTTTATGTCTACGCTACCGAAAACACGACCGATTAAAAATTTGGTCTATGTTCTACCCTTCTATTTCTGTTGCGTAGAACTATTTTTATCTGGGGAAGGGTGCAATTCTGGACTTGGTATAGTTCTGCTCTAATGGGACGATGCATACTCACCAGATTTCCTCTTTTCTGACACGACGAACGACTTGCTGCGTCTGACTCTCAACGACCTCCTTTTGATCGATCTCAGGAACGATTCTGGGACCTTGTTGGGCACACCATGATGATGATTACGCTTCTCGGACATCGTCAACCAATTCTTCACAGCCGTCATCGTGAAACCGCGGGACTTTTTCGTAACAGGTATGCTCGGCGCGGCCAGATCGGCGCTTTTCAGGTCCACCATTTCGATGTTTGTTGGTCTGTCTGGAGTTTTGGGTGTTAAAGTGGAGGGTTTGGTTGTATTATGCGTGGTAGCGTTCAGAAAAGTAACGCATTTACGTACAGAGGCTCATTAGAACCCAATAATATAAGTCAAGTCTCAAATCATGTAAGGCATTGCTTTTGAATTTTTATCATATATTATGGCCAACGGTCAAACATATTAAAATCCTTACTATGTATGTTTGATGTTCCGTTTTCCAACCAAAATGGCTGAAACGATTTTGAAGAATTTTAGCATATATTGGAGACGGACATAGGTTATCCATTCGTTGTAATAATAAGACCTGAAGAGGTTGAAATACGGGGTAAGAGTATGAGGAAGCTTTTTGTTTAGAGCTAGGTATACAGATATGGGTTTCATATGCACGATTATTTGATTAAGTATAAATGGACACTTGCAAAGAAATTTGGTAAATTCCACCCGTGAAGAAGTAAGGTGGGAATTTACACTTTTCAAGGTTTTGTAAAGAATTTAGAATATTTTATTTATTCAATTTTAACTTCAAAATAATTCTTATTAACATTTTCAGAAATTATACGCTCAAGATGGGATAGGAGGGGATTGAATATTTCTAAGGGGAATTTGCAAATTTATAGAAATTTGTCTTGAGCACTATTTGACCTATGAACATGAAATTTGATAGATATTTAGTGTATGAACAGGACATGTCAGCTGAGAACTAATTTTGGCACAGGGCTGGATCAAGTGGGGTTATGGGCAGATATATAGACAGAACTGAGATACAGTTTCAACAGACAGCTTGCTGTTTTCACTCTCGCAGCGGTCGATTCTGGTAAAAGATGGCACTTTGTGTTGGATTATTTCACTTCTACTGAAATGTCGACAAATCATGAAAATTGAATAAACTATTGTACTCCTATAAAGAATAAGAATCATCTATTTTTGACTAAATATTAGAACTTAGTTCCCGATCCTATGTCGGAATCAAGTGAAAATGTCAGATTTTTTCGATTTTTTTGCAAAACTCCGGCAATGCACGGTGCGTTTGAAAAGAGCGAAAACAATTCGAGTAAGTTTCTTAAATGGCAAAATTAATTGTGTTTTCAACTTTGGCTGTTAGAATTCAGTCTAATAAACTAAATCAAATCTGCTATCGACATATTTTAAGTCAATTCTCATACCTAATTTCAGTAATTGTCTTTTACTCAACTATACAATGGCGGACCAAAGAAATGTAATTTTATCTTAATTCTACCTATACCTATATAATTTTTTCATAATCTTTTTTTGTGCTTTAGATTGCAGAAAGATGATGATTTACTTATTGTTACGTCAATTTTAAAAGTTTTTTCAATTATATGTTGCATATAATGACACTATTATACGTGTATACAGATAATAATTTCAGTAATATGCTTCTTAAATTATACACCATTTCGTACTATCCTTTTAACAAGACGGAAACGATACTACAAAAAGTATTGCAGATATATAATTTAGCGTTTTTCAGGTCGTTATATTATACTCTCTGTATAATCATAGCATGTGGCGAACTAAAATTTATATTTTTGAGCTAATTACTAGGAATTACACCATAGATTAGTATTGAGAAATGGTGTATGAATAATAGGTATGAGCTGTTTTTTTTTTCTTACTTGAAACAAAATGCATTCTTTAATATGATCCAGGCCAATATCAATATTCGATATGATTAATTATATACCATAATGCTTCAGGTTGCTTGATAAAATCTAAAAATCTTGCAGTGAAACACTAAGACAAAATAATGAGCCAAATGTAACTCCTATGCGAACGGTGATATACCTTCCGCATTACGTAACGTAATTAAAGTTTTCTATCTCAAGATACCCAACCAAAAAATTATCCGTGATAAAATGAGATACCGTAACGTCAACTAACAGAAGTTGTTAGAGCTGTTTCTCTATGTACCACATATACTTTGAAAACACTAACCTTCTTCAAAGTATATATATATATATATACTCGTGTATATATAGTACCGGTATCTCATTTTATCTCGTATAATTTTTTGGACGTGAGAATATAGTATTAGGTTGGACGTCTGCTGGTACAATATAGAAATATGCTTTCTTGACAATTTCTGTGAACTAGGTCAATAGATGTTTACAAAAACGTACTACTTCTAAGAACTAGATCGCGAACCAACTATTTTACTCAACAATACCACATAACGCGTTATAGTACCAGTGAAAACGCCGACATTCATTCGATCCCCGGATCTAAACAACGTCTAGTGCGATTAGTGTTTGGGTGGATAACCGCATCGGAACACTTCCTATTGTTGTTTTTTTTGTTTTTCTTTTTTCTTTTTATTATAAAGACGGATATTTCAAATTGAAATACAACTTAACGTAAACTATCGCTCTCATAGAAGATGTATATAGATCTATGAGGTATACACATTTTCTAATAATCTCAAATAATGTAGGATACTCATTTGTTTTTTGTTTTTAAGAATTTCAAAAAAATTTCAATTTTAATAGCTTTGATTAGGAATTCGGATGCACGGTCCTCTTTTTTAGAATAGCAGACGGAAGACTAGACTAGACGGCGATACAGTTCAGAATTGAATGGGAATCTGTAGTTTATATTTTCATTTTAGTTTTGTTTTAATGTCTTCATTAGCCTGAATGAGAAGCCAGCAATTTTTTATTTATTTCGGCCTTTGTATCTAATAGTATTTGTTACCTTATTCGATATCCTTGAACTAAACCACGATCGTATCCAGGCAACCAGTTATACAAACGTCTGCTTACTTGGTTGCCTACGGTGATATCCCATCTAATATCTCTTTCTCATTCGTTCAGCCGCTACTTTTTCGCTCAGTTTATTGGGATCCTATATTGCCCGTCGTTTAAGGTGAATTAGTTTTTCGAAGAATGATGAACTAGTTCACTTTGTTCAGTCATAAGAATCGTTCGTTCGTGAACTACACATTACTAACAGAATACGTTAATCAATGGTATACCAAACTGCAGCTTTCAAATTCTCATGCCTACCATGTGCAGAACAGAGTATTTTAAAAAGTTTTTTCGGAAAGATTTCTTAGTATACCAATATTTTCAAACAAGTAAAACTCATAGGATTGCTATTATTTAAACGAACACCTGACGTATTTCGGAAAGAACATAAATTCTCAAATCATTCAATTTGTTGATAGCGATTATATTGAATATAAACAAACGAACATTACCTAAATATTCAGTTAATAAGTTATATTGTAATCATTAATTTGATACTTTATTGACGCTTTCGCGTATGCCAACTTTTCTGAAGATACCACGCATAAAAGTTTTCCTTTAAACTTGAAACTAAAAATAGAAACCACATTTTGTTGATAAATAATCAGACAAACTTTATCAACGCGATATCTGTGTATAGCGTGTAATAAGACGCACTTAACTTTCGTCATGTAAGTTCATTAAGTTCATTGATCAACATATTTACATATATAGGTTCTAAAGTTACATTTCACGCATCATGTGATACGACTGAACGATTTCCTGTCGATTATGTAAAATATAATAATTTTATTCGCTGACAGAAATGTTTATGGTTCTGCTTTCTGTTATAAGTAAGGTGATGGAGAGGTGCATAAATCGTGAGCTTCTGGAATATCTTAATCAGCGAGCCACGGGGGACCTCCTAGCTTACGTCACGCAACTTTGGAGTAAACTCAACCAGTCTTATGGTCGTTGCTCTTTATATCATGAAAGCGTTCGATCAGCTGTGGCATGCTGCCCTCTTATGGAAACATCCATCCTATGGCCTCCCAGAGAAACTTTGCAGATGGGTACTCCTTTTCATCCCATCCCAATGTCAACGCGGGTGTTCCCCAGGGATCGGTCTTATCCCCCCCACTCTTCGTCTTACATATCAACGACCTTCTTCCCTGTACGATCAATCCAATCCACAACTTTACTGATCACTCAAAGTGCCAAGCCGATCTCTGCCGGAGAAAAATTACTAGACTTTCTCTCTGACGAAAGACCTGGTGGATTAGACCGTTCCTTTGTAGCTGGGGTATCAAGATTGTGGAACAATCTGTTTGAGGAGGGTTTTTCAAGTTCACAAACCTTAGGTTGTTCAAAAATCGGATTAACAAAGTTTCTTGACGCTCCTCATAGCAGCCGCGGTGCCCTGGTATTTAAGGCTTCTGCCTACGCGGTTGCTTCGGTATAAAAAATATATTGCGATTTTGTAGTATCAGTTTAATTTCCCTTTATCAAGAAAATTTAGAAGATACATAAGGTAAAAAAAAAAATAGAAACCTAGCTGTTAGCTTGAAAACAAAATTTGAAAGTCATGCTTTTTCAGATACACAAGTCGGCCATGCCCATTAGAAACACATTTGTGAGCAATCTTTTATATTAACAGAAATGATAATAATATGATGCACATATCTTTTTAGAAGATGACTAAGTGAATTGACGATCACGCATCTTTTTTTTTCTACAATATTATTATATATTTTTAGAATCAACACGGACAGTTAAAACCTATAAACACCATAAATATGATTATTATTGTGAAGAAACACGGCATAATTTAACTGCGAAAAATTATATCAGAAAAATCCATCTAAAACATTGTACTTTCCAGCAGTACTTGACTGAATCTCACACACAAATTCCATATGGTTCCTTATGATGAAAAAATTATTTGTCTATATTAGTTACAAATCCATGGTAAACTATCAATAAACAAGATAATGAACTTTCTGTTCCATATAATATTTGACAAAAAACACGTATGTGAATATAGTTGCTTAGATCGAAATGTTGTTTACGTTAGCAATAATTCATTTAATAATACCTAATCAATTTCCAGTATAACATTCAATGCCAGTGAAAAATTACTGTTATAAAAACAAGCTAGGTAAAAAACCAATAAACAAATTGATGTATACAAAATTGGTTTTCGAGTTACGACTCATACTACTACAATGAACAGAAGCGATTTTAAATTGGAGATTACCAAACTTGATCTCAGAGTTAGTATCAATATAATAAATACAGCGGATATAGAGTACAGCAAAAACTAGAATGGTGTTGATCTCTTCTGATTAGGTTTACAGATAATTGAATCGGTTTTTAAGAGGAAAGTCAAGGACTTTTGTGGGATTGACACGGTTGCCAATAGTTACGCTTAAGCTGTACATGAAATCGATATTGTTTTGAAACAATCTGCAAATCATGCATGCAGTAAAAATTGTGTTAATGTTGTGTTCTTATAAGTCAAGGTAGCAAGATACAGTACTATTTCTCGAACTTCGCTGAGATGAGGTGGGACTCCTTCCCTAACTTGTATATACAACGTTTAATGTCAAGCTTCAACAACTTCAGTTATTTCAAAAGTAAAATGTTCAAGATTTTATACAGATAATTCTGCAAATATTTAGGCCAATTTTTCTGAAAAAGCTATATCAAAAGAGACAATTTATGAAAAATCAAACACCCTATCTAAAATGCAATAAGCGTGTAGAAAAGTCAATGTCTTAGAACATATTTTTCATTTCACTACTGTAAGGTCAAAATACCCCAATGTATGCGCCAGTGGTGTCGTTAGAGCAGTAATATCTTATAAGTATTGCTTATGCCGGTAGTATGATGCGATTCTAAAATTATATCTTCAACACCTTGTCTTGTAGAATCCAAGTTTATATATATACGTATATAGCATCTCGTGTTCTTCCTGATTTTGGTCTAAGATATATTGCCACTATTTCCTGTATCACTCTATACAGTGTGTTTCAGAACTGTGGGATCAAACTTGTAGGGGTTATTCAGTGTAACAGTAGAAAACATTTGAGTATAGGTACCCATCTCCGGAAAAGTGTCACTACTGCACTACGGCCCTAAGACGCGTTAAAATTAAGAAAGACGATGAATTGCCTAAATAGGATTTAATCCATTTAATTTTTGCCTTTTGTACATGATATCATCACAACAATTGTTCAAAATGTCTTCCTCAAACCTGAATTCACCGATTTAAACGTCGCACATGGTTTCGGCGGACTTGACTAAAAATTTGATACTCGTTTTGAATGATTTCAAATGCTGCGGTACTGGAGTTTCGTAAACCAAAGACTTTACATGTCCCAACAGGAAAAAATCTAGCCACGTTAAATCGGGTGACCTAGGAGGCTATGAAACTGCTCCACCTCTGGCAATCCAACGGTGCTCAAACGCGTCTTAGGGCCGTAGTGGCGTAGTGACACTTTTCCGGATATGGGTCCCTATACTCAAATGTTTTCTACTGTTATACTGAATAACCTCTAGAAGTTTGATCCCTTAGTTCTGAAACACCCTGTATATACGATATCGTATCATACTGAATCCTAGGCAAGGATTTTGATCGACATCCGTAGTTAAAAGAAAATAAGGAGCTGAATTGATCGATTCATGCTTGATCGTGGATCAAGTATAAGATGCTTCTCGACCACGTGCTCAATCCTGCGCTATCATCTTCAAACGTCTTTACGTATTATTTTCCAATGAGCTTTATGTCGAAGAAAGACTGTCACTGTTCTCTGTTCGACCTTGTATGCACTACACGTTTACCTGATAAAGCTCATTATACGCTATCTATAAGAAGGGAAAACAAGATTAAAGTTATCTTTTGTAATGGTTTCTATTTTTGTTTCAAGTTGAAGTAGCAGATACTCACCAACACCTGTTAATACGACACGCAATCTCAATGTTTATCACAATGACTTCTCTATTTTCAACACACGTTCAAAAACGAAAAACAACCAAAGTCCATGAATCCATCATTTGAAAGCACGCCTTCCTGGACTCCGTAACAAAAACAGTTTTCTTCAATTGTTTAACAATTAACATTTATCTTCGACTCTGATCTTGGGTAGCCCAGCTTTTGGATATTGCCTTTACCTTGACTCATAAAGCACAACTTGATATTATATAGACTTTTACTGGCAAAAAAAACAGTAACTAATTAGTAAAATCGGATATTGCTCAGTTCTTCTAGGCAACACAGGTACTTTAGCACTTCAACATCCTTCTTAATGCATCAGATCCTTTTTTAGGAGAAACTTCTGGTAAATCTTCAAGATTCAACAGGTAGGTACTGCAGCGGTAGCGTTTAACAGTTTTATTTAGACGGTCTAAGGCTTTCTACTTTTATCACGATATTTTTGTACGCCTGACACTTCATTACAACTTTTAACCTTATACATTCGCGTTTCTTGAACATCAAACACCAACATTTGCAGATCTTTGTCCTTAACAACACTAATAACACTTAATATTTGCCGTCCATTTCATAAAAACCCATTCCGTAACAATTCTTGAACAACAACGAACAAACTCAGGTGGTTCTGCCCCGATCCAACAACAAAGTCACTTTTCAAATAAACCCGTGATCAATAAGAATTCTTTATAATCTTCTTCCATATTGCGTGTTTCGCTCCATATTTTTCCGGTAGATCCGCGCGTTCTATTCGCCCGGATTCAAACTTTTGACCGCCCGCCCGGAGTATCGCACCACGCGCGGCGCACACGATAACGAACGTAAGTGGAGTGCGACATGGGCGCGCACGCAATCCACGGAGGCGGTGCTTGAGCGGTGTTGCCGGATGGGCGATTTTTTACCCGATTTGAGAGATTTTTAAATACGGCAGAGCTAGTACGGGCAGACGAATGTCACGACTGGTGTTTTTCGAATAATTAGAGGGCAGAGTGAACAATGTTTGGGGAAGGACAAGGCAAGTGCGACTTGGGCCCATACAATCAAAGGAGGCGGAGCTTGAGCGATGTTGCAGGAAGGGCCATTTTTTTTACCGGATTTTCGGATTTTCGGGATTTTTAAATACTGCAGAGCTAGAACGGTTAGATTGATGTCATGACTGATGATTTGACAAATTCAGGGAAGAATAAACATTCATCTAGGAAAGGGCAAGGCAAGTGCTACTTGGCCCATGCAATCAAAGGAGGCAGTGCTTGAGCGGTGTTGCCATATGGGAGAATTTTTTGCTCGATTTTAAGGAGTTTTAAATACTGCAGAGTTAGAACGAGTAGGTTAATGGCATGAAATTATTCAGGAAAGGGTGAACAATTGTCCACGGAAGTACCAAAGCAAATGCGACACGGGCCAATGCAGTCAAAAAGGCGGTGCTTGAGCGGCGTTGCCGGATGGGTGATTTTTTACCCAATTTGGGGGATTTTTAAATACTGCAGAGCTGGAACGGGTAGATAACTGGTGTCTTTGAAAAAATAACACGGAAGAGTGAACAATTATCTAGGAAAGGGCAAGGCAAATGCGACTTGAACTAATGCAATCAAAGGAAGCGGTGCTTGAGCAGTGCTGCCGGAAGCGCCATTTTTTACCCAATTTTGGGGATTTTTAAATGCTGCAAACCTAGACCGATTAGATTAATGTCACGACTGGCGATTTGACAAATTCAGGGAAGAGCAAACAATAATCTAGGAAAGCGCAAGGCAAGTGTAACTTGGGCCTATGCAATCAAAGGAGACGGTGCTTGAGAGGTGTTGCCGGATGGGCAACTTTTACCCGATTTCGGGGATTTGTAATACTGTAGTGCTATAACTAGTAGATTAATGTCATGACTGGCGATATGAAAGATATGCTTGAGCGGTGTTGCCGGATGGGAAATTTCTTGTCCGATTTTAGGGAATTTTAAATACTGTAGGTTTAGAACGAGTAGATTAATCTCATGGCTGGCCATATGAAAAATTCAGGAAAGAATGAACAATTGTCTATGTAAATGCAAGGCATGTACGATAAGGATCCATGCCATTAAAGGAGGCGGTGCTTAAGAGGTGCTGCTCAATGGGCGATTTTTGTCCGATGTTGGAAAATCTTAAGCAGGATTGAGAAGATTAAAAACATGAGTGGCGTTATGGGATATTTCAAAAAGAGAATGACGTATGTTAGACGCACGGAAATGAAGGAGGAAGCCTTGAACGGTGAAAATGGACATTTTGTACTCAGTTTTAGGGATTTTCAATAACCGCTGAGCACAAGCCTGATTCTAACTGAATTTTGACCCTATGATCCGCTATGATAATTTCAATACTGCCATGATAATTTCTGCGTATAAATCAGAATCACAGGTAAAATTATGGTAATTATGGAAGTATGATGGCAGCACAACATAAAAATTAACTTTCTTTAGTTTGAATCAGATCCCAGAATTGAGAGGATTACAGTGTAGTCATGACTGGCAATATGAAAAAAAAACTGGAAATAGTAAACAATTTCTTAAGGAATGATAATAGGGATGCGACATGAGCGCATTGAAGCAGGTGTTGATTGAGCAGTGTTGCCGGATAGGTGGTTTTTTACCAGGTTTTGAGAATAGTTCTCCAGGGAGCAGAGCTGCCAGAACGGTGATTTTTCAACCAATTTTGACGATTTTCGACTGATACTAACCAAAGTTGGGAAGAATAACCTAGTCCTATAAAACATTGAGGAAAAGGTAAACCAATCCTCAGCAAATAACTAGGTAAGTGCAACATGGGCGCGTACGCAATCGCAGCGGCGTTGCGTAGGTGATTTTGTACCCAGTTTTATGGATTTTAAACTGCCGCTAAGTAAGATAAGGAAGATTGTATGACCTATGAAAAATTCTGGAACGAGTAAACAATCGTATAGGGTAGTGCAATTGAGTGCGACATAGGCGTACGTAATCTAACAAGGAGATATGTCATACTGTTTAGCATTGGTCCTTGGAGCTGAATACGTCTTTACTTGAAGCTCACTTATTGTCACGACGTCTTATCCGAGTTCGTAGTTCAACACTTACGAGTGACGGGCTAGTTATTATAGATACTTTTCATCAAATTAATAAATTGGATAACCTACTTTTCCAAATTCGATTCGATTGATTTTCACACTTCATGGAGATTATGCATCGTCCAATAAAGAACCTGGTGACCAGCCTTCATTAAACATATCATTTTAATTCAACCATCTTTTTGCTTACAGGGGCACACTTAACGACTCTCACAATGCATATTTATATATTACAACGTATTAATAATATAAAAGTTGGCGGGAATATTAATAATAGATCAGTGACTGTATCTAAAGTACTGTCAATTAGATATAATTAAGTTCTATAATTTAATACAAAACAACCGACACACGACATAACAGACACGATTTCAGTTGCACATCTAAAGCATTCCATACACATGTAACGGGAGTGTGGCAAAATGAGGCAGCGCGTTTGAAAAAATAGAATATGTTTACTTACTCATTACCTGCCAGAGAAAAGGCTGAAAAACGGCGAAAAATTCAAATTTCAGATTTTTTATAATAATTCTGACCGCTCCAAAGAAATGTTTTTAATTATCCCTTAAAATCATCAGAAACTCGCAAAACGAAGAATGAACAATAGGAAATTTCCATCTCATAACTCTGACACCACTGGGACGATTTTTAAAACTCACACAGCTTTTTCGCCCTTGTCGTAACTATTTTGCTCAGTCCTTGGTGAAGGAATATTTTCTTCTAGGACAGCAATAATTTATCTTCACAGAAAAAGTCCATGGGGGTCGAACCCAATGGTCATAGTATCCGTGCAATAACAAAAAAGTCAGACACACTTTTGCGGAAACAGCTTACAAAGCTGGTCCATGGTGGTTCTTGCAGGGTCACGAAGCAACACTTTTATATGTTGGATATAAAGTAATTAGATATGATTTGCAGATATCTATGGGCGCCCATGGGGGGGGGACAAGGGAAGGTATATGCCCCCTTGTCTTCTGCTTACTTGAGCATATTCTCAATAGAGTACCCGTTTTTTGTCGAAGATTGACAGTTTTTTGGACAAGAAGAGGCGTGTGTGTTTTTTCCTCCTCACAACATCTCTAGACAGAAATTGTGTTTTCTTCCACCGCTTTAAACGGCTAGCAACTCGACTTCAAAATGGTTGTTTGACGCCTGTAAGCCTAACCTGCCCCTCTCTGAATTCAGCTGTATGTGCGCCCATGCCGATATCCATCACCAGTAATACATACCATTGCTGGTATCGCATTATTAAATAATTGATTATTTCCCTCAATGATATTGCAGGCCACCGCAATCACCAGATTTGACCTTCGCGGGCTTTTTCCTTTAGAAGTACCTGCCTGCTACACTTCAGTGTTTCGCAAAAACCGGAACAAAACTAGATGACCGAATATTAAAAATTAATAGATCTAATACGCATTTCTGGATATTTTCGTTTACGATAAAATCCTAAATCCTGCACCAATTATGTAATAATTCAAAAAGCATAATATCTCGACTTAAGTTTTCGCGATTACAATACCTCCAGATGAGTTGCCGTGGGAAATAAAAAAAGGTGGTTCAAGCAAGTTGACTCTGTATTTGAAATGGCAAGCTTCAGCAACAACAATATTAGAATGAAATACTTCAAATCTTTTATGTTTACTTTCCATGCCACATCATATGTTTTCCCGTACATTTGTCTTTAAAATTATAGAAAAATCGTGTTCGATACGCATCTTCTTCTGCTATCTGGGCTCAGCAGCCGGCGTAACCGTCTGCTTGTCGATTATTCTCGTACTGCGGCGCATATCACGATTTGGGATGGGTTACCAGATCGACGATAGCTGCTGGCAGGGCAGCGAAAAAATTTATATAGGCTAATTATCTGGGCTTGTTTGGCTGACTTGATCGGCTTAATTTATCAATTGTGCATGTTCGTAACTGATTTGTCTCAGAGGGTTTTACCTGTGATGAACTTAATCCTTTATGAATTGACTTCTCTGTTAGCGGATTTGATTATACTCCGTGATCCAAGTCAGGTGAAATAGATGATTACCAGAAAAACAGCCACATCTGACAAGTTGACTGATTTTTTCATAGTTTTTACGGCAATGCAGGTCATTCTTCATATACAGTACCGAGCAAAAGTAGAGAAACAAATCACATTACAAATAAAAATCCAGAAAGATTCACTGTAACCCAAAACTGTACACTAAAGTTTTTTATGTATGCCTACCTCAACATAATGAAATGCTTATCTTTGTATACATTCTTTTTTTTCAATATAATATGGTCAGTTTTTTAAAACACTTACTCTTAAAAATCCATTTACTACTGGTGTCGACATAAAAGCTCAACTTGAAGAAGTAAATATTGTTCTCCACTCTGTTCGAAGACGTTTAAGGGAGAGTGATTTACCAGCAAGGAGACCATCTAAAAAACCCTTTCTTTCCAAGAAAAATCGGACCGCCCGTCTTCAATTTGCTTACGATCAGTTGAACTGGTCAGAAACAAGGTGGAATTGAGTATTATTTTCCGATGAAAGTAAATTTAATTTATTTTCATCGTATGGCATTTTATGGGTAAGACGTCCTAAAAACAAGCGATTTGATCCTAAGTTCACTTTGGGCACGATCATACACGGAGGCGGGAAGGTTCAAGTATGGGATTGCTTCTGTGGTCTTCAAATGGGACCCATCGTCAAAATTGAAGGAATTATGGACCGGTACAAATCCTTGAATTATTAACTAATACCATGCTACCTTACGTAGAAGAAAA